CATTCAGAAGTGCGAACCAAATGTTTAGAATGTACCCAAAAATGTGCTCTTTTGTTATCTATATCTCCTAGAATTATTAAATGTACGTTCATTGTTGACCACCGCTGATAAGTCTTTTCTGCTCAGGATTTCTCCTATAGTCGTTTAACGTTTTGCTACATGTACAGCTCCTGCACATAACACAGTTTCATCAGCAGAATTTATTTTTCAGTAGACTCTAGACTGGCATATTCCTTTGAACTCTTTTACTGTCCTGTGCTGCATCTGAAAGGTGCTCTCATTCCTCTTCTCCTTCATCTTGCGTTACTTTAATCACTCTCCATTCCCCATCATCGCTGGGGTCCATTTCCTTCCAGTTCTTTGATATTGAATAGAGCAGTTCGTCGTTGTGAGCACAATACATGGTACCTTTAGCTGTTAGCACCTCTGCAGCTTCACTGTTGTCCCCTGGAAATGTGCACTTCTTAATGTGTGATTGAAGCTTCTCAGATCTGAGTAGACCAGGACTGAGTGCTGTCTGTCCAACCGTGTGAGTGTGTGAGAGTCTCTAACAGGGACGTGTGAAATGTGTCACTTCCTTTACACTCTATCCGTCCGTCCGTCTTGGTATCTCTGTCTGTTTTTTGCCCCCTGCTGTATTACATGAACATCCTGACTGATGTTACCCTAATAAGAACTCCTCATTTTCTGTATGTGCACTAATTCAGGGTATTTATAGTTTTGCTAATAATACAAATAGAATCAACACTGGTTATTTATTGCATGCACCTTAATCAGGGTAAACAAAACCTGATGAACAGATGTCCAGTATTCAACATGACATTACATTAGTCAGTGTCGTGTTGCGTGGAAACACCTTCATTAGATATTTTTTTAACAACAATATCAGCAATTAACATGAAAATCATTGTCCATAACCCCAAATCAAACCCTTAGAGAGAACAAGAGAGAACAAGACACACTAAATCTTAATCCTTATTATAGAAATGAATGAATGAAAGTATTCCTGATTACAGTGTATTTCTCTGAAATAAAGGGACGTTTAAGAAATTTAAAGATTTATTGATATTTGAGGAAAGCTCCAGAAGATTAGAAATAAACCTTTTCCAGAATAAAAAAAGACCATTCAGATATGACTTTGTTTCTGTAATATCAACCAGTACCACAAACAAGATTGTTGGCACAGTGTGTTTATAGGTTGTTGGGGTTGTTTTGCTTGTTTTTATTATGTTCATAAGCTACAAGTTGTAGAGTTGAAGTGCAGTGGAAAGCATGCAAAGCAATGGAAGAACTGCATCATTGTCAAAAGCGGTGGATAATCTAACATCATAAATTTTAAATGCGTAATTGAAAATCCATTATCTTGTCCGCTAATAAGTGGTTTTCCGCTGGCTGCATTACATACTTCCTAGACATTCATTAACCTAATTATTTTTTTTCTTATAGAAGTCACTGTGAATATAAACGCTATAATGAAAGTATTACATTAACCTGGTTATTCTCAGACATGTAAACATTTGTCACGTTTCTTGGAAAGAGTGGGAAAATATGTTACCTTGTTGGCATTTAGTTAAATATTTGACAGCAGTTTGCCTTTCTGCTTGGTCATTTGTGAAACAAACCCACAACTAACAGAGGCTCATCATCACTTTTTGTCCTTTTACCGTCTGTTCTTGTCTCCACCTCTTCATTTCTCTGCCTTTCTGGAATGTCTCTTTCTTTCTCTGTCACATACTTGCTTACTATTGCTGTATTGACACACACACACACACTCACACACACACACACACACTCACACACAGATTTAGAGCCTCATTATGCAGGAATGCACAGTATTTCTTTAGATTGTGTGTGAGTGTGGATGCTGAGATGTTGCACTGTAGCAAAGTAAAGATAGTGCTCTTTAGAACCTCCCTGACAATTTCCTTTGGTTAATGACGCCTTATCAATACTCAGCCTGCTCCTCCCTCTGCCTTTCCTCATACACTCACCCTGCAACCCTACACACTACGGCCTTATCTTGATTTAAATAACACCAACATCTCCCATATTTTGGCCCTGGCTGTTCTTCCAGCTGCTGTATGCTCCATTCCCACCCCTTGCTGCTAACCCCGCCTCCTGTGTAAAGGTGTATGTTTAGGGTGTGAGAATTACAGGTTTGAGTGCAGGATATGGCAGCCCATAAGGACTAAGTGCAGGATATAACAGCCTGTGTGTTTAGGAGAGGGAGAAGGATGGAAAACAGTAAAAAAAACAAATGTGTGCTGTTTCTCACCTGAGTGATTAGTGTTTCGTGTGTCTTTATGTGCAACTGATAAGATAAGACACTTTTCTTTTTCACTGCCTGAAAAACAAAAGCCACTGAAGATTTTTTTTTTGTTTTGTGGTTTTAGTCAAGGTGATGAAGTTCAACAGGGAGCGAGCTGCTCCAGATGTGAGCCAAGAAGAGCATTTACACAACTTCAGTATCGCGAGCCTGCAGACTGAGACCGGTTTCAGGTACACAGATTTCACTCATTCACATGCACCATGTCCACGTGCTCTTTTGAGATCCACACCATGTTTTATAAAAGTGCTGGAAATGTTATGTCGCGCTCTCATGTTTGAATAAGCCCCTCTGTACTGCAATCTTTTTTGTACAACACGGCTCCAGTCTGAATTGAATGCTGTGTCCTAAACATAAAGGCTTCAGCAGAACGAAGTTAAATAAACAAGGAGAAATAATAAAGCTGGGCCTTGGTCCACGTTCGTGAGAGTGCTGTAGCAATTTTGTCATTTAATTATTGCTTCTTATGCACAAAGGTAATCAGTTCAATAAAGCATGAAGTACGTTTTTTACTTATTTTCTTCTCATGTTTGAGCCATCTCAAAAATGTCTCTCTATTTATTTTGGACAAAAATCACAGCAATCATTAGACTGTCAGTCACCCTCCTTAAATTCTTAGTTTCCATCATGGTGTGCATATTTTGCAAACAGTTATATTCATAAAACATATGAACAACTAGGAATTAGCAATTTGTTATGTCTCTTTTTGCTGTGTAAGCACTGTCCAGCCATGTGAAATGGGGAGCAGCATTCTATATTCTCTTGACTAAGGACACAGGGGGGTTGAACCAATTAGTGGCCTACCTAGATTCATGATAATAAATGAACATGTCACCCAGTCAGGGTCTAAAATTTACTTTTGTCACTGCCTGTTTTTTTCCATCTCCCACACAGAAATTTTATCTGTAAAATAACTCAGTTTCAATACAAAAGTTTGCCAACAAAAATAAAAAAAATAAGCTCAGTGTTTCTCTGACAACACCAGAGTTACCTCCCGTAGTCCAGCCAGTGTTGCTGGCAAGCAGCGCACTGGCTGACTTCCTCTAATGATTTTGGTTTGAAACGTCGCCATAGATGTTCCCTCAGCTGATTGGTGGCTGTATGTGACGCAGGCACATGCACGGACGCCTCAATATGGTGACGCTTACTTTATGTGTGTTTCTGTTGTGCGTTTTCCCAGTCTGCCAAAGTGGCGGGTGGCCTGACAGTTAACCACGGTCGGTTTTATAATGGTTTTCGGACAGCAGTGAAGCGCTATAGTAGAGAAAAACAAGATATGGACAGGCCACACTTAATATACTTGAGATCAATTCATCAACATCACCAGTCTCAGTCTTAAACAGACTCCATGTGTGCTGTTTGTGTCACAGAGAGGGCTCCCGTCTGGAGGAGTTGGTGGAGAAGCAGGCCGACCTGATAGAGTACCTGAAACAGCACAACACCTTACTGAGCAAGAGGCTGCTCAACCTCACGGCCCAGCACTGACCACAGACCGGCCTCCTCTGCCTCCTCGTGAACCAGCCACCACACTCACCATCATTTTAACACTCTCTCTTAACACAAAGCAGAGGGGATCTGTGGGGTTGAAAGAGAGGACTGAAGCTAGAAGAAACACTGGATAAAAGACTAAAAGTAAGGAAATCCCTGCGCACACAAGCACCTGTGTGCACAGACTTAAGACGGGAGGGCTTCTCTGCGAGGCACCTGAGATGGACAGATAACGCAGAAGGAGGTGAGCTGTAAGTGGAGGACAGTTAAAGAGGCAAAGTGGGAGGAGGAGGAGAGTCATGGGTCACAGATCAGAGGTGAGGAGTTTTTATCACTCTGTTACGACCCCCGGTGACCTGTGTATGCTGCCGCTTGTGTTAGCGAGGGGAACAGAGGGGGCAAAATAGTTTGAGAGATCATCTGCACTAAAGAGGAACTGATAGAGCGGGAGATACAGCAGGGAGAGGTTATCACTTATCAGGGTCAAATGAGAGAAAGAGATCAAGTAACGCTGTAAAATGTCTGTAAGTGCTATTTTATGTCTGAATGTGTGTGTAAATGCTTTATTTGTTCTTTCTATCTGTTCAATCATTAAGTTTGTGTATTTGTCATCAGATTCTAATAAATCTTTAATATTCTCATGCTTTTGTTTATTTATTTGAAGACTTTTCAGGGTGACAGTTGACACAATACTTCAGTGAAAGCCAAGTAAGCGAGTGTTTATTTTCTGTAATGTACTGTGAGATCTAAAAGAAAGGTTCACAAACAGTAGAGTCACTGCAGTGTCAACGTTAGCTTGGTGTGAATGCCTTTTCCCGCCTCGCCTTTTCTGTGTTAAATTTCAACAATCACGGGAATCTACGTTAACAAAATATTGAGGACGTCATTTGAGCCTTTGGTGTTTGTGTCCCATTGTGATTTCTTCATGCTCTGGTGTCCGTAACTCCACAGGGAGTGAATGCATTTACGACTTCTGTCCCATGTGGCTTCTCCTTGGAGCCTGGAGTTATCCAGAGTACTGCAGGTATCACACATAAAAATATATAGTTTTACTCTGTCCTAACCAAAAGTATCCCAAATTTAAATGAAGGCTGGCTTATTGTAATCCTCAAAGTTGCACATTTACTTTAACCCTGTAGTCAATTGTCATTTTACTTAACACATAAACACAATAAAAACAAAACACTACGCTGATACATATTTTTATTTAAACATAAATGTAATTCAATAAACATCTGAAGTGCATACATGCATTATAAACACTTTGTAGGAATACATTGTTAATGCTGTCCATCGTAGCTGCAGTCACTAAGATGTTTCCAGCTCTTTGGTCCATCGCTTTTAAGTCGTGTCGAACATGCTTGATGACAGGTGATGTTGTGGATCCTTTCCCCCTTTTTGTTTAGTACGCAATTATTGGCTTTTGTGGACGAAGAGGGGAAGGTGCTTGCAACTGGACAGACCCAGACCTGTGGCCACCAGGATGCCAAAACATTTAATTAAATGAAGAGTCAGTCGTGCTCAAGCTAAAGCTGAGCTTGATTTTGAACAGCTTTTTTGCAGCTTCAGTCTTTGGATGGCATGTTCAGTGTGCCCCATAGACTTGTTTTCCCACTTTACAATCTATGTCTTGGTGCTGGGACTCATCCATGGTGTTTGGGCCACACTGCAGTCGCTTCGTATTCATATTTCTCTTCTTTAGGTCACCCTCATTCTTGTGTCCTGTAATGGGGGAAAAAACATAATTTAGTGTCCTGCTAAAAGAAGTTCAAGGTAAGATAAACACAGCTTTAAACACAGCAACTGTGCATGTTCAGGAGTCAAAATTAAAGCTGAACCCCCCCCAAACATTCCTCATGGCTTCCTCTTCATCGTTAGTGAGATTTATGTGAGCCTGTCACCCCTTGCACTCCTGTTCTGCGTGAATACACACCTCTGCCACTAATCACACACACCTTCTTAACTGCCACCTGCCAGCTCTATAGCCTGGTTTTGTTCCATGTATCACACAGCTCAGCTCGTAACCCCTTTTACACAGAAACACATGTATGAATGCACACATCTTACTTTAGGGGAAGGGTACTCTGGAGTGGAGAGGCAGGCAGCGTCTGTGTGGGCAGTGGTGTTTGTGATATTTTCTCCTCAGGTTCAGGAAATCTGAAAGAAAGAGATGCTTTAATTCTAACATGCAGAATAAAGTCACTGGATAAGCAGACTGTTTAAATTGGAATATATATATATTTTATATGTAATCTACACTACCAGGAATGAACTGCTTATCAAATCCAACTGTGGGTGTAAAGATTTATGTCTACAGGTGGACTGCATATCACCTGACAGGCGTAATTAATTCCAAATGGAGAAGAGTAAACTCAGCTTGGGCTTTTTAGCACCAAAAGAGATAAAAACAACACCTCCTACAGTCACCATTTCCCCAGAAAGCACAATTTCAAAACTAACAAGCCCTAATTATGGCCTAACTTAGCCTCTGTTGACCACAGAAAAGCTCACTTTCATGGCTTTTATTGTTTGGACCAATTTCCAACAGCAAGGCCACCCCCCTCTAATAAACTGGGACACACAGACCTAACACATGATTATTTTTAAACGTCCCTAATAAATCCACTTTGACTCCCGCGGTTCACAGACTGCCAGCCAAGCCCAGGAAGAGATAAACTGCCAGATGACTTTATGGCTCCCTCTTCCTCCCCCTGAAAGAAACTGCTCCCCACGCCTGGAGGTATGCTTCTTTACACTTGGCACTGCTACTCCATGTCATGTTAATAAAGCTCGGGTATTTGCATGGCGTTTTAACACCGCGATTAACAAAAGCGCGCCGGAGTGCCTTCCAACCCGGGACAAAGGGACTCACTGGGGTCGCTATGTGATCCCCGGCGGCGCTCCGCTCCTGTACCTCCCTCCTTCCCTCTCTGCCTTCCTCCATCCTCTCCATCATCACATGACTCTAATCACGACTTCAAGCCCCAAAGCGTCTCTGTTTAACAACCGCTGTTTGTCTCCGCCAATAAGGCCGATGTATAGCCGCAAAGCAGCTTGGATTTGCGCAAAAAGCGCACCTGCTACGACAGCAGGATATCTACTTTCCCAATTCCAGCAAAACTTTTATCATACATGGGGAGTTTGTAGCCCCATTTGTAAATAAAAATAAATAAATAAATAAAAGAGTTGGAAAGACTAATATTAAAATGAACCTTTATCATATAAACCCTAAACATACCGCATGTTACTTACAATAGTGCTGCATTCAAAACATGTTGGAAAATTTGCTGTTAATAACTTGTTAAACGCATTCTCAAACCAGATAAATGGAAATTAAGCCTATAAAGTAGCCTAGTCGTTTTATCTTGTTATGTAGGCCTATTTGTAGGGGTTGACACAAAAAATAGCCTCTTTTTACTTTTAGTTAGCAAATTCGATTGTCTTAGTGTCAAAACGTAACTGTTTGATTTCATTTAGATGTAATAACCAAGTTGGATTTGCAGCTCTTTCGCCACGGTTTGTTGACATAGGCCCTACTTTATACAAGGAGGCTCGCAATAACGGGTTTTCGCCCTCGAGTCTAACGTTATGTATGTTATTTACGGACTGAATGATGAGTCATGAACGCGCCATATATTGAACGGATTCGTTAGCTACACCGGACATGATTATTGACGGGGCTTAATTTTACCGTAGATAAATATAGCTTTTATAGATAGCTTTTTATTATTAAAAAGATATGTACAAGAAATAAATTTGATTTTAATTTGATTTAACTTTTAAAATTGATTAAGCTAGGTGTGTTTCACCAGTTAATGTAACATTGCAAGAAGTAGTAGTAACGGTACCGTTGCTATGGTTACCTGTAACCGTTTTAGAACGCTGTTTAAAACCGTTCACCCGGGTTATATATTTTAACTGTCCTGGTCTATTTTAACGTCATCTGGACGGTAACGTTAAAGAGTTGGGAACTTGGGACGCTTACCTGGTCTGGCAGAGGAGACTTGTGCTACAAAAGCTGCGAGCAGTAGGAGCAGGTAGAACAAGTTGAAGATCCTCATGGCTGAGCAGCTGTTAGCTTCTGAGGAGCTTAGTTAAATATAATTTTCTAGAAGTCTTAAGAGTCCTTCTGGCTGCGAGCTGGACTGATGATGCTCAGTGTGTTTCGGTTCTCTCTTTCTCCTCCTTTGTTTTCAGTCCAGAAGGCCTACGCCGCGGGAGAATCCAGTACAGAGAGAAGGACCTCTTTTCCCCAAGATAATCAGTATGTCCCTGAGGATTGTGTGCGTCCGAAGTGTTTGTGTGTCCAGTGAGAGAGTGATTGTCTCTGTGTATGAGAGCAAAGTGACAAAGGTGCCTTTCCCCCCACCTCCTTTATACAGCCTTTTAGAGGGAGGGGGAGCATGGGGGAGAGGTGGGGTGCCCACAGCAGCCCCCAGCTCAACCCCTGACACACACACTCACAAACACACACAGACACACACACTGCACATATTGACCCCACATGTAGAGGGTAATTCAAATGACAGGAAACCCCCTCCCTATCCTCTAACTGCCCCTTGAACACACACTCTCATGTATGCTGCATGTTGTGTATGCATAAATGTGTGTGTGTGTGTGTGTGTGTGTGTGTGTGTGTGTGTGTGCAACTATGGGTGACTGAAATATTTAAGAGTGGATGGAGCAGACAATGTTGATTTATCACTCATATCACAAAGAGCACAGATTTAGTAAGCTGTCGCTGATAGTAGTAGCTTCTTCAAGACTGAGAGGAGAGCCAGATCCCTCCTCCCTCAGTTGCCCCCCACCCCACCCCCGCACTAAGGAGAGCACACACATCTTGGGGGGGCTTTCGGGTGCTGGGGTGGTAGTGGAGGTGGTGGAGGGGGGTGTTTGCACTGAGCATTTTGGGGCCGGGTCCTGGTTGAATGAAATGATGGCACTGGACTAACAATACTCAAAGAAGTCTGACTGTCTGTCTGGGATGCTGTCTACTGTCTCTGTCTGTCTGCATGAGTGTCTGTCTTTTTGGGGCGGGTGTGTTTGTAGCCATGTAATTAAATGGCTACAACTGCATTATCTAATTTTTTTCTAAATAAAAAGCAATTACCGCAAGAATTTTGTTTTTAGGGAAGAGTCTTATCTTAAAATTCAACTTCTGGCTTTTCAAAATGGTTGCTGACTTAATTATTTAGTTCAGTGAGTTAATTTCACTTTGTTAGCATCTTCTCAGTAGCACCGTGTATCAAACCACTGAGTATGAAGATGATTTGTTCTTTAATCACCAGTCAGTTTTCATGTGTGATGATTAGGTTTGAGTGTAGAACAGTAGTACTTTTTTTTAAGCATTGGCCAAAGTGTGTTTGTAAAAAATGGTTCCCAATTACATTTTAGTCGTTTCCAGGTCTGGATAAGTATGGGGAAAAAAGAAAAGAGAGTATGGAAAAATATTTGTGATTCCAGACTATTACCCATATTTTCTAATATTTAAAATTCAGAATTTCTAAAATTGAATCTAAATTCTCTCTAAATTGATCATACAAGCAGACTGTTTTTTACATGGCATTTGGATGTGTGAGAAAGGTCAGGCTAGAGCAAGCTTGATGTGGTTGAATGCAAAGCAAGAAGCATGGTGTGTGACTGAACGTACACTCCTACACAGAGATGCCCCTACACCATGCTGTCGACGCTCTCCGTCTGTACGTCACAGCCTGCAAAACAGCTCTGCTCCAAGCGTCTCATTACTGAAACTATATATATATATATATATACTGTATATACTGTAGCATCACAAATAACCAAATACTAAGCTTGTCTGAACATTTATGAGTGATGCAGTGATGTAATTATCAGAAAAGTAAACAGACTATCTTTTCTGTGTACATGTCATTCAAGTGTAATTATTTAACGTTGATCACAATTTTGGTTATTACTTATAAAAGACACAAAAAAATATGGGGGAACAATTATATAATATTATTCACGTTATGGTTTGTATAAATATTCAAACAATACCCAGCCCTACTTCTCATGCAGGTTGTCAGTGGTATACCAGGGGATTTTCTTGCAGCAGGTAACCCAGTTCACTTGGCATTAGCTCTGCAGTTGACGGTGTGGGGACTCATTAGCGTGTCTGCTTACGGCCGTCTCTGTGGACTGAGACTCTGCATTCAGCACCCAGCTAATGAATTAACACATTAAGATGAAATGTCAGCCATTACATGTGAATGAGGATTAGAGAAGCAGCAGGACACTAATGGACCGGGGGCTCAATATAGTCACAGAGACTTTGAACAAGCATTCGGACCATCAGCTCTCTTTAGCCTTGAAAAATAGACAAAAGAGTCTGAAAAAAGAGTCTCTCCATTTGTGGGTTGTTTAGTGATGTGTGTGTGTGTCAGTGTCAGTGTCGGTGTCGGTGTCATTATGTCTTTGGAAATGTTGCTTTTATTGCTTTATGGTGTTTGCAAAAATGTTGCTTGAAATGACAGAGATTCCTCATGGATTTAGCCAATGCACAAACACACAGACACAGTCATCCTGCCGCAAACACTCAGCTGAGGTATGTAGTTTGTTTCTGTGGTGAGCTGCACTTTGCATATCAGCTGCCATTGTCTTTTAAAAAACTTTTATTTTCCCTGTTTGAATATGCTAATTTCGTCTCAATTGTCATTCAGAGCCACCTGGTATCCGCTGCATCCAACTGCTGCCAAGTCTCAGTTTCTCTGTTGTCTCTTTCTCTCTGCCCTTGAAAACAGAAACAAGCGAATTGTACCGAATTCTCCCCACCAGGTTTTCCGTGTGACTAAGTAGAGCGTGTTGTAATATTTGCTCTTCCTGGGGATTATACGTCTTTACAGGGATTACCCAGCCTGCTCAAACACTCCCCTACGAGAGAGAGAGAGACACGCACACACGCACACAGAGGGCAACCTCCTATTAAACTGCTTCAGTTTGGCACCGCTGCGCTGCATAGAGGAATCTCTTTTCTACTGTTAAAGGTTATTCTTTGATATGTGATAATTAGCGTTGTTGGTACCAATTATCCACCAAAAATGCCTGTCGCAATTCCAAAGTCCAAAGTGCTGACACTAGATGTCTTGTTTGTCCTGTCTACAGTCCATAACTCAAACATATTCAGTTCACAATGATACAAAACTGAGTTTGGTGTTTTTGCTTCATAAATTACTTAAATAGTTAATCAACTATAGAAATGATGGATAAACTATTGACTAACTGTTTATAATTCTCAGAGTAGTACAAACAGCTTTGTCTTTTTATTGGTACTTGAGCTGAAAAGATTAGTCATTTAATTGCTTAGTGGGTCAACATTTTTTAGCAAAAATGCAAAAAATTCACTTGTTCCAGCTTTGTAAAAGTAAACATTTGCTACTTTTCATAGGTACTATTATATTAGGTCATTTTAGGTGAGGTGAGGTGCCTACACAGAGCTCAAAGGATACTAAAGGAGAGTACCCACCCCAGCCACAGCCTGCTCACCCTGCTGCATTCTGGGAAGAGATTTCTGCTGCCGCACCAACAGACTGCAAGGCAACTTTTTCCCCCAAGCTATCAGACGTTTATACTAAAATTCTTCCTCAGTACTGCTCCATTTAAGATAGTTTATTTCTGTTTATCATTTTATGATTGCTTTTATATTAATGCATATTGTCTGCTACGCAGAGGCAGCAGAAGGGAGTTACAAACTAAATTTCACTATACAACCTAATCTAATGTGACAAATAAACCTACCTTCTACCTCATAGACTGATTTTTAGAACAATTACAAGTGCAATAGCATACATTATCATATTTTCCTTTCCTTGTCTGGTCATTTTGAATGCTTTGTAGATTAGAAAGAAAGAGTTTGACAGAGTTTGACTGCAGAGCTGCAGTTATTGCTACTGGTTTAGTAGTCATAGTCTTCCTAGACGCTGTGATCTTTACGACCACAGAGGAAGCTTCAGCCTCTATTCCCCTCCTGAATTTTCACTTTCCTCTTCCTGTCCCATCATCTCCTGACCAGCGACACACAGATAAAGAACTTCCTCTCTGATAACACTTGTTAAGAGGAACAGTGCATTATAAAAGGACTCGTGTTTCTTTTCCACAGAGCTGAACGTTATTGTATTGTACACAGGTACACTTAGCACGGACAAATTGTTATACATACAGATAGGTGACAAAAAGATATTCTCTCATTTCATGATGGTGGTGGAGAGGGCTGTCCAATACATCAGTCCAAAGCCTCCCGTAAGTGTCCTGCTGAATATTATATTATAGTAAACTGAATATCTATGAGCTTTGACTGCTGGTTGGACAAAACAAGTCATGTCAATGTGTCACATTTGGCTCTGGGAAATTGTGATAGGCATTTTTCACTATTCTCTGACAATTTACTGACAAAGCTTTAAATTGATTAACTGAGGAAATAATTGGCAGATTGAAGTTGACCATAATTGATAAGAAAATAATGGTATGTTGCAGCCCTAATTGATATTGTGATATAACATTACGTATACCGTGATAAAGGATTTTATCCATATGGCCCACATCGTTTTTAAACACATACATGACCGTGTGTGCCATCTATGTGAGCATATGTTTATGTGTTTTAAAAAGCTTGTGATTATTTCTTAAAAAGCTTGTCTTTGTTTCCCCATTTCACCTATTTTTAGTGATGTTGATAATGTTATTATAACCAGCTGTTATGGAGCTACAAAAACATGTCCCAAGTTGTATTGAAAATAGTTTTCCTTTAATGTAAACTCATTCAAGTGGATGCAGAGAGGAGTGCAGGTGACAGATTGAGTAGCAGAGATGTTTTGTGCCGTGATGTCTGGATTTTTTTGGGTGTAGTCCACTGTGTGTATATGTGTGTGTAGTAGTGCTGATTGTGATCTGAATGGTAAGTTTGTTGTCCATCGTTAGAGTGATAGCGGGTCTGTTGTCATGCTGTAAGGTCGTCAGCATTAATGAGGGCCGCAGCCAGCTAGCAGAGCTTAATTACTCTTAAGACCCTTTATCTCCAAATGCCCACTACAGACCCCAATGGACGTATATACACGTGAACAGTAGTGAACACCCAATACACACACTAACAGTATGGACCATCAGGACACATCACTCAGCACAAATGAGTCGGGCGGGGGATTTTTCTTCTCCTGCTGCACTCTGTGAAGACAAAGATGGAGCCTCACGATGGTTGATTAACTTTATCTTTATTCCTGAGCGCCTCCTCCCCTCCGTGTCGGCAACTAGACGGCTGACTGTGGAGGATTGACGGAGGGTTCAGGGGTCAGGGGGCAAGCTCAACAGGGAGCTGCCTCTAACCCCCCCCCCCAAATCCTAACCCAGACACAGCGGCTTCTCTGGACACGCAAACCGGGTGTCCAGATTTTGAAAGTATGGCTTTAGTTTGAACAGAAACATAGAGCATTATGTACTATGTTAGATTATTTTTAGGGCATTTTTGGATAGTGACAGCTGCAGAATGGTAATGATCTACCCAGCAATCAAATTCTTTATAGACGCCAAAGGACAGAGGTAGGACCAATATCGGGGGTCTGCTATTCCCAGCAAATAGGCATTTTTATGCGTCCTTAGAGGAACCATTGACTGCGCAGTAACATTCAGTGTAAGAATTTTCCAAAACCAGCTAGTGTCTGTGTAGGTTATGAAGCTACTGACCACAAACTAATAGTCAAAAGTGAGAAAAACTCAGATCAGTGCAGCTAGATTTTGAAGATTAACTGGTTTTTACAACTGATTAGGCTTATTAGTTAAGGGGGACAATATCTAAATTTTGGCATCTCTCACACTAAAAATTTGAGTGACGTGATATTTTGATGTACATATCTAACTGTTCCTGCTGTACAACAATGATTGCATGCCACCCGTTGACCATGTCCACATTTGTATAAGATGTTACTGATTAGGTCAGAGGGAGACTGAATCACACATCGGAGACAAGTTTATTGTTGCCTTTTTATTAGGAAAACTCAACACTATGTGCCATAATGACATTATTTAATTTGAAAAATGTTTTTAGTTAATCATGAGTCAATTGTGAGAACTTCACAGTACATTGAAAACCCTGTAGTACACTAGCTCAAGATAGAGATCTCTGACTTTATGGCTTCTGTCCAGCTTGCTTGGTGATCACTCTCAGCTTTCTGTTAGACGACCTTGACTTCTTTGCATCATAGACACCTTCTTCTGAAAGAGACAGTGTACAGCATTAGAAAAGCCGACATTTGTCTGCGTGTGTGTGTGTGTGTGTGTGTGTGTGTGTGTGTGTGTGTGTGTGTGTGTGTGTGTGTGTCTGACAGCAGAAGAGGAGTGTATACCTGGATGTTCTTTTTCTGGTTGGATGCAGACTGAAGCCAAACTGAAGAGTGAAAAAATAACGAAGGCAACGATGATGAAGGTCAGCTCAAAGCCAGAGAACGGCTGGTCCATCTACACAACTACCCAACACAAAGCACTTCATTACATTATGTAACATCTTCACATTAACACAAACTTATTAGGAAATCCTATTCTGTCTTACTGTGTTGTTACATTTTCAAAAAATAGACCTACAAGAGGTACACTAGGACAACTACTAACAATTATAAAAATTAAAAGTACCTAACTAGGATCTACACTTTGTATTTTTTTGTATTGTTGCCAGATTTATGAAGTAAAAAGGCTCAAAATGTCCATCTTTCTGAACCATGATCAAAGACGTGTCTTTCCATAATTTAGAAAGCTCATTCCATATTACAAACATGTACATATGAGGTACCAATGTGCATAACATTTCTTAATCTTAATATGTACATATGACCCTTATTGAGGTATTTTTTATTAGCATCCAGGCACGATATATTCAACTACAACAGGGCTATTGGATATAAAACTAAATGTTAAAGTTAATATTTTGTTTTAATAAGCTAAAATTGTTCAATTGCTAGATTTTAGCTTAACTACGCTGCACAGATTTTGTTTGGGCACAGAAAACTGAACTTGTTCTGGATATTTTTTACACACCTGCTGCCAAACCAGTTTCAGGCTTGCATTTGTGGGCAAACTTGTACTGCTTTACATGTGTAGCCTGATGATCTGACTGGATCAACCTTTTCCTTTCACTATTTGAACCACTTAACAAATCTGAGATGTAGAAATCATAGGTTTGGAACAAAAAATAATATACAATATGGATAAAATTAGGACATAACTTGGTCTGGAATTCATGCTCAAACTACAGGTTATTGCTAGCTTAAATACACATTATCCACATACAAAAATTGTTTTTATGTGTCAGCACAAAAGCCACAACTTTGTGTTACAGACATTAGAGGTAGTTTTTTCATTGGTGCAGTATCATGTCGCCTCCACTAGGGGGCCTTGTAATCTTGTTACCTGTAACTAACGTCTGTGTGTTGTTGGTTTTGAGTAGGTAGGTAGGAAGCTAAGCCCTTTCAATAATGACTCCTGCTCCTCAGTGCACCTACACTGCTCTATGTAGTGCTGGGTTGTATCTGCTTACTGTATGATTGCTCACAAATTTGCCAAAGCTGAATATTTCTTCCTGGTCTTGAGGGAGCTTTATGGTACATTTTACTGCACAATCTTCTATTTCTGAGTTTCTGAGATCAGTTCACACAACCATAGCAGTATCCGATGCGGTGTTTAAGTATCGCAAAGTTAGGAAATGCACTGTAGTATCATAGTATGAGTGAACTGGGTGAAACTGGAAGCAGGGCTCACATATATAAAACAGTCAATGTTGGAATCAAAGAAAAAAGTTACAACACAGAAGTTTTTGGAAACTTTTTTGGGGAACTGAGATAATATGACTTCAGTACAATACATTTTTCATTTTCAGCAGAATTTTGTGATCAAACCCTGTTTTCTAAACCCTTAACCTAACTTCAATCAAAATGCCTTTGCTGTCTAACTAACCACATTTTTACTTTCTTAACTTTACCACAAAGTAAAGTAAAGTATGAATCCCTACAAAAACATGCTGTTTAATAATAATGTTAATACATTAACAGATGCACCATGCAGTTTTATATTAATAATAATAATAATCTTTATTTGTAGAGCACTTTTCAAAAACAAGTTACAAAGTGCTTTAATAAGTGTAAAGACAATAATACCCAAGAGACAATAATACAAAAACAATACAAGATAAAAGCATGGAAACATTGAAAAGACTAAAATACACATTTAAGATAAATATAAAATTAGTAAAATACAATAAAATAAAAGGGATAAAATAAAGTCAAATAAGATCGGGAAAGGCTCTCCTATAAAAGTATGTTTTAAGAAGGGACTTAAAAGAGTTCACTGACTCAGCTGACCTTATTTCCTCGGGCAGGCTGTTCCAGAGCCTCGGGGCCCTGACAGCAAACGCTCTGTTCCCTTTAGTTTTCAGTCGAGACTCTGGAACAGACAACAGACCTCTGCCCGAGGATCTCAAGGTACGTGCTGGTGTGTATGGGACTAAAAGGTCAGAAATATAACAAGGCGAGAGGCCATGAAGAGCTTTAAAAGTGATCAATAGAATTTTAAAGTCAATTCTAAAACATACATCTCATACTATCACTGAGAGGCCCCAGTATTTGATCCCTGCTGAATAATTTGAGCACTTCCTCTGATCCTTCCAGCACACCTTTTGTGTCTGACCTAGATATTAAAAAGCCTCTCCAGAGTGGTAGGCTTCAGTCAGAGATGACACAAACAGCAGCAAACAATAAGAAAAGTGTGGGGAGACTTACCAGTGGAAGAATCACAGTAGCTATTTTCAGATCAGAAGTTCAAAACAAAAGGACCCGTGTGTATCTACAGACTCTCAAAGAGGAAAGAAAACAGGCATGAGACACTGTCTTAGAACAGTTTGTTGAAGCAGGTCTTTGTTTATTGATTTCTATCTTTTTACAGTGTACCTACTAGGCCACTCCTTTGTGCCTCATCCTGGAAGCAAATAGTACAGGATCCTATAACAAAGTACACACACACATTCAGAGGTCACGATTTAGACTTTGTTCTGGTAACTGATAACGCACACACTCTCACACAAGGCTTTGGCTGACACGTCCTCATTAAACAGCAAACAGGAAGAAAGATTCGCTGTTGCCCGCTGAAGTCACACGATCAGCTGTTCACTCTGTGGTTGTGTTTTTGTCTCTGAGGGTTAGGAAATGAGAAACATGGTCACTGCCATTGGTTTTTTCCACCTAAATATAAACGATTGTATCAAAGTGAAAGAAGAAGAACATTACTCATGAACTAGTTTAGTGCTTGTTTGTGCTGTTTAGAGTCTCTAACAGTCATAATAACAGTCTATGATGTGATTATTTTAACTCAGAGGTCCATTTACTATCTTTTTCTGAAGAACGTGCAATGCAGTGAAAATCTCCAATAAAAAGTGGACTTTTGAGTTAAGATTATTTTATTGATTTTTTAATACATTATATACATTATTTTATTCTATACATGGCTTATTTTATACATCTTAGATTGCATGAGGTCTGTTCATGACTGTTGCCAACGTCATGTATAAACCTCCATTCAACATCTATAGGAATTACAGATGTTGTATGTGGTTTTCTTTAAAGGAATAAGTCCTGCCTATCTATGTTAAGTAGAAAAAGATTGTACAGGCAACAATATTGCCAGTCTTGGACTATGGGAACACACTATACACATGTTAAACACTCAACATGGCCATTTTTTAGGGACACCTAACTAAAACAGTCTAATAAAGAATCTCCGTAATAAGGCTAATCTTCATAAAGGTTATAATGTTCCGTTATTTTGAAATTGTTTTTGGAGCAATGTTGATTCAACTGTATAGAAATTTTGGAAGCTGTGGTTTGTGTCTAAGAAATAAAAGTAATGAACCGAAATATTAGACAGAAAGAAATAAAGTTTTAATGAAGACATTTGGACAGAATTTAGGATCAGAACAAAGATAATATGGTGGTCCTCTATGCACGTGAGAAAGCACTGCCTCAGATACACTCTGAATTAATTCCACTATATATTTTGGGGATGTAGTTCGTAGTGCTTTAACAACACTAATTGATATTGTAGGATGTGTTTATTAGTTTGCACAAAAATACTTTTAGTATATATATACACACTTTGCCGCATTAATTGGTATACTTTGCTAAAACTCATGAATGTAATACTGTAGACCTGCACGAGGTAGGATTTATTGAAGCATTGTTGTATTAGACTTCATTAGTTTTAACTTTACATAAACTACATTACAGTTGTTTCTGTTTTTTCCACCCATATTAGAAACCTGCGTGAAAGTGAAAGTACTCATGTAATTCAAAATCCATTGTTATTATAAATGCATAGTGCACTGTGTTGAAGTTAAACAATTCATACTATTCTGTGTGTGTGTGTGTGTGTGTGTGTGTGTGTGTGTGTGTGTGTGCACGCAGTCGTACCATTCACGTGTGCACATTCCTCACTGAGCATCCCAGTAAGTGTGAAGAGGGCGAAAACCAGGAGAGAGAACACGATTGTCCACACCTCCAGCTCAGTCAGCAGAGATGCCATCTACACCCGCTGCCACAGCTGTGTGTAGCCAGTAAATGCCACATCTGTTAAAATCATCACATTTCTTTACAAAAGGTGAAATCACCGTCCCGACAATGAATTGAAATTAGGATGACTCACTTACCCAGAGTCTGTTACTGGAGCATTTAGATGTTGACTATTTCACAGCAGCTTCATAACACATGACACACAAACACACACTCTCTCTCTCTCTCTCTCTCTCTCTCTCTCTCTCTCTGTTTTGTCACACACTTGCAGAAACTGCAAAGAGCTGACTAGCACATCCCCTCTCAAGTTCAAGTGAGATCATATTAACCCTAATTATTTATGAGCCCTGTGTGTGTGTGTGTGTGTGTGTGTGTTTACCAGTAGAAATGCTCTTTTAAAATGAATGAATGTGTTCATTTTAAGATTTATGATTGCTTTCCAGTGTAGGACTTTCTCCAGATGGTATGAGATATTTTAATGTTTAAAAATGTTTGTGCCCACATTAAACATATCCATTTGTCATCTGAAAAAGAACTGAAGCTTTGCGTGCCACACATGTTGGTGTGATATAGGGATATAGGACTCTTCTTTAAAATTTGAGTGTATAAAAAAGATGTGCATGAATGCAAGGATGTGTGGGCATATATACATGTCTTGGACACTTATTTGACCCCCTTTCCTCTCAGCAGTGCTTGTTGATAACAAGGCTGCTGCTGTTGAATGTTCCCTGTGCAAATGTTCAACATTGCCCAACCAACCCAAGCAAAGTTTAAAGGTCAAAAAAACTACAACCAGATAAAAAATGTAGAGAATAGTCTGTTTATAATACAAAAAAATACAGTACTTTATTGCCCGCTGGCTTAGAAATTCTTCAACACACCTTACTTGTCTGTAGGAAAATGTTACAAATGTTAAA